GCTCAGCGGACGCGCGCAGTTCAGGCTCCGCGCAAACGCCGCCTCGCCGGCCGCCGCGCGGGAGCGGCTTCTGCGCCTCTGCCCTCGCGCTGTTCTCTGAGCCTGTCTGTCTGCCCCCTGAGCGTCTTAAATCCCGGGACCTTCTCGTGCTCCCTGCAGCGTCGGCGTCCATGGCAGACCCCCAGGGGCAGGTACTCAGGGTATCGCCTCCTGAAAGGGGGCGTGGTGAGCTGGACATGCTCTGGCCTCGGGTCTGGGCACTGTCCACTGCTGTGTTTTCTCAACAGCCTGTAAAATTTGCGGCTTATTTAAAGAGATTCTTGGTGAAGGAGGGAAGTTGGCATGAACATCAAATTCTTCTTTACTAAACTCCACTTTTCCTTTGTGTCCTTTTGGCAAAAAACAAAACAAAACACCAAGATGTTTACCTGGAGATGCCATGGGTAAGTGGAGATTGCAGGTGAGCAAGCAGCTTTTTACAGGAGAAGCTGCAGCCTCTAACACATACCAAGCCTTTAAACCAGCTCCAAGCTGTGAGGGTGGCCTGTGCACAGCTTTATTTAGAACTCTGTAGCAGCCTTTCAAATTGGCTCAAAGTCCACCACAGTTTACCCAATTATCCTTTTAATCTGATCTGAATGACCATTAACCCTGAGCTCATAAACGTTATGTAAGGGATTACCTAAATCCAAAGTCATGTCACAACGTTTTTAATGTAAATAATGAACAGAATTTCAACATGAAAAGAACAGAAACCAGTATCATCTAAGGCAAGTTAATCTCTGAGTAGCAAAGAGCCACTTCTCCTGCTGAGGATAAGATGTGAGGGTTTCTTTAAAAGAATCTATTTTGATTCTACTGGCACAGTCACCAAGAGTTTGACTCCTTACCAACTCTTAAACATTTTCTTTATTGCAGAAATCAATGGATGGCATTTTGTTGGACATATATTAAAACCACATCCAAATGTTTTAACAGAACAAGGTGATGTAATTATGGAACCAAAGAGAGGCCTGGGAATTCTTTTACCAAATTCCCAAGTTGAAACATTCCCCCAGCTCGTTGAGTATGACATACTCCTTGATCTAAGAAACTATGGGCCAAGGAAATCAGCACTGCAGGCTGTAGGTCTGTGGGGTGAGTGCTCACAAGCTATTTCTTTCAGGAAGTGTAGTAGACTGTAGTCATATTAGCAGGCCTGCCCACAGTCCTTTTCCTACTCTCCCCTCTTTTTTATGTCCTTAAAGACAGTTTCTTTATTGTGGGCGATCCACTCCCTCACCCATCTCCCTCACAACCTCAGGACTATATGACCAGCACCTGTAGTCAGAGCCCCAAACCTTCCTCCCACCGTGATTAGTTCAGGAACACGCAGGTGATGGAAGCCTGGCCATTCAGCCCTCCCCGGAACGTTTCTTGGAACTGTTACAAAAGAGATACGCTTTTCCCCTTGGGACCTCTAGCTATGTGGATGATATAACAGTGGGGCCACCTGTAGCTAATTTGCTGGCCCTCGGAAGGAATTGACTTGCTGAGAATAAAGCTAACACAGAAGGGGGAAGAGCCCAGAGACAGTCTTGATGAGCTTATTTGTATCCAGCTAGGGCTTGAAGCTAAAAGTACATCTGTGAAGTACACCTTCACAGTCACGTAAGCCAATAAATTTCCAAATGTTAGGGGCCCCAAACTTGAACTGAATTTTTGCCACTTGCTACCAAGAGAGACTTTTATTATAGAGACTTGTCACATTTCACTTAGATCTGTTGACCAGGTCCTCAGATTAGTTCCACTATTGGGGTGAAAGAAGTTAAAAGATCTGCAAACAAAACCTGTGTATGGAATGGATATACTCCTTGCAGGGGAATATAAATTATGAACAAATCGTTCAACTTTCTAGGAAACCAAGTTAGGCCAGAAGGAAGACAGGAGTCTTGGGCATATGTTCTAACCTTAGTCGTCCTGTGCTTGAGGGAATTAAGGGCGTCTACTTCACCCTTGCCTTCAAGAAAGCTCTCCCTGATGACAGCCGAGGAAATCAACCGTCTAAACCTTGCAGATAGGCTACCATTTGGGGGAATAAACAGTATGTTTTTACTGGATATGAAATAAATACAACACATTGCATAAGTTATAAATGTATACAATAAATTATTAACCCACCTATGTATCTACCACCCAGAACATCGCCAGCCTCGTGCTTATGCCCCAACCCAATCACTGCTACAGAATTTCCGGGTGAAAGCAAATAAATGTTTAACATGTTTAACTTCAGTAGTAAAATAATTTTCCAACAATTCATAATCTCCACGAGGAATATATGACAGTCTGGTAGCCTCATGCTTCTCCAGTGCTTGATAATGTCAGTTTTTAGAACTTAGCCATTCTGGTGGATGTGTAGTGCTACCTCATTGTGGTTTTAACTTGCATTTCTCTGATAACTAATGACAGTAGTCACATGTTCATATGTTTATTGGCTATTTACATATATTCCCATGGCAGGGAATAACAGATTTTATGAAAAGGGTGAAGACCACAAACCTGAAGTGAAGCCTCAGGCTGCCTTGGATACCAGTCCTGCCCCTTACCACACTCTTCTGCAAACACGCACCTGATGTAGCTGCTGGTGCCCACAGATCGGTAACAGAAGGGAAGAAACATAGGACCCACACCCAGGTACCACGCATGTGCATACGCATACCTCTAAGGAGGGGAGACACAGGTCTTATATAAAGGAAGAAATATCCAGACGTCTAATCCTCACAGACTCTTGAGAGACTGAAACACCATCTTTGAAAACCAGAGAAAAAGTCCAAAGAAATGCTGTAAGAGATTATAGAAGAGGGCAAACAAGCAATTAAAACTCAGGAAAGAAATGGAAGAGAAAAGAACCCTTTAACATAGATGAAAGCCAATTGGAAACAACACAAGGTAGAGTACACAAGAGGTCTGATAAAAGGAAAATGACAAAATTACATAAAATGAAATGGAGGCAAATATCACGATTCCATTTATATGACGTATCGAGAGCAGTCCAATTCATAGAGACGGAAGTAGAATGTTGGCTGCCAAGGACTGGAGGGGAGGGGTGGTAATGGGGAGTTACTGTTTAATGTCCCCATTTGAAAAAGTTCTAGAGGCGGGTGGATGGATGGTGATGCTACCAATTACCTCTCAAAATTCAGGTTCGTGTACCCGGTGCAACAGTAGGCGCTTGAAGATAGATAAAGGTTTATTTGATTTGGCTGAAGCGAGAGGACTGGTGAGCAAGAGCTCTCAAATCCATCTCTCTCAAAAAGCAAAAGTAGGGAGTTTATATGCTGCTGGGGAGTCGGGGAGGAGGGAGGTCCAGGGAGCTGAGAGAGAAGTCTGTGTTTCTGTAGTCACAGGCTCCGGGGCATCGGCCGCTGGCTGCAGCTACCTTGAAGACATCTTTCCTTCTGCTAAACAAACTCGTAAATTCTCCGTGTGGCCCTGGCTACTTCATCCTGCTTGACGAAGAGACACCACAACACAACTCATGACTACATCTGTGAAAACAAAAGTTGCTGAGCAGGAAGAGGGGTTGACATGTGAACAAAGGCCTAGTTAAGAATTAAATTATTTAATTCTAGCTGCCGAAAATACTCGGGGCGTTAAAATCACAGTAGATGTACTTAATGCCACTGAATTGTACACTTTAAGATTGTGAATTTATGATATGTACATTTTACTGCAATTTAAAAAATGAAATGGGAGAGGAAAAGATGTAAAAGTAATTAGAAAAAAATGAAAGATTCTTCAACATGGTAAAATCACAGCTAACATCATCCTCAGTAACGAAAGACAGAAAGCCTTTGCCCTAAGATCAGGAACAAGACAAGGACGTCTCCTTTTGTTACTTTTATTCAACATAGTACTGGAAGTTGAAGACAAAGAAATTAGGCAAGAAAAATAAAAATAAAAGGCATCCAAATTGGAAGGGAAGAAGTAAAATTGTCATTATCTTGGGCCGAGACCCGGAAGTCATCTATGGTTTCATAAAATGGGTGCTTCTCTGATACGTTCAACTTGTGTGTTCGAATACCTGCTGAACGCGTTGGAAATGCCGGCTTCTGCTCAAGCGTGCTTTTAGCATTTCCTTGTCAGG